GATCTGTTTGCAAAAGAAACTAGTGCTACAGCCCCAGAAAGCAGATGTGATTTGTGGGCAAGAACCCCACCCCTTTCTTAATCAAAGCAATTTTATGAGGGCTGGAGAAATTACTTGAGTAAAGTCACTGGGACCACAGAACCACCTACACAAGCAGTTTGTTTAAATTAGGAAATTAGCAGTGGGTGAGGGAGCACTGTCCAGTGCAAGGCTGAGACCCAGGTAGGATTTGGAAAGTCTGTGGCACCAGCTCTCCAGCATCTGCTATCTAAATCACCAGCATGCAGGAAAGCCCTGGCAGAGTTGAGGAACCACAGAAAATTAGCACCCAGTCTGCACTGACAGTCCAGCACTCTCCTGCTCTCACCGAGACCGTGTTCCAAAATCCACCAACCCAGTGATTCAATCAACAATGAAATCAACATTAAACACTTCAGGTGGCCACCTTTGGTGCTCTTAGATGTGTTTGCCACAGGCAAATCCTGTGAAAATGAGAAAGGTTCTCAGGGAATTCACATAGAAACCAATTAATGTAAAAAGACATTGTCATGGTCACTTAGCCAACAGTGCCAGCTACCTGGCTCTGTAGAGAAATTTCCCAAAAAAATGAAATCACCTAAAGGTGCAAGCTGTACTTGGCCTCGGAGGATGAAAAAGAGTCCAAAATTCACTGCAGTGCTGACTCTGTAGCTCAGTCCAAGAGCACAAATACTGATGGCACATGGTGGCTGGACACTGCTGGGACAGGCTCTCATCACACTTGCCTGACACAGAGCAAACGACATTCAATACTAACACAACCAATGCAACTCCCCATGGCTGAGCTTCCAAAATATAATATTCAAAAACGTTTTAATGTAAGAGAGACTTTAAAAGAGGCACATGAAAGAAGTGAGGAAGGTGAGGAAAAAAAAGAGTATTAAAAAAAATCCCTAACTTTATTTAAAAAGGATTCTGATTAACAATTCTCATTAAACAAAAGATTCTATCTTGAAGATTTCCAATCTTCACCTCAGGAAGCCCAATGCAAAAAGAGATGCTTGGACGCCCTACAAAAATCAGCCATTATCTTTACCCTTGTCTGTACACAGAAAGCATGGAGCAGAGACATCTGACACTCATGGCTCTTATCTGAGGAATAAATAAAACAATGCCCCTGGCTATTTTTAAAAGGTGTAAATTCAGAAGGAAGGAGGAGACAAAGGAGCGGAATATATTATTACTTTCAGGTTTTTTTTCAGTGCTCATTGGTTTGTACAAAGGCTTGGCATGTATCAGTAGGCACACAAGTGCTTGTTAAGTGTTAATTTTGCATATGGCTGTTATTGCCATAATCCAGACATCTGTACAATCTCCCAGTTATGGAGGATCCACTCTTCCACTTCTACATATCTGACCCATGACCTTAACAAAGGCCTCGTTTGGCACTCTCCAGTCCTGAAAGCTGTAGTTTAAAAACATAGGGCAATATTCTCCAGCAATAGGAAAGTCATGAGCACGCATGCAAACTTTTGATCCTTTCCTATTCAAAACCAGTTTATAAAGTTCTATAGCACAAACTAGCTATTCCTGAGGAAATGAGAAAAAAAAACAGCTTCAAAATGTCATCCTCTCAGCTGAGACACACAATTCACTCAAGCAGGAAATACACACAAATAGGGGTGGATAGTTAGTCTGAGATGTAATGATAACAAGCTGCTGACATTTCAGAATTTTCCTTTCAATGACAGGTGCTGGCTGAGTACACACAATGCTAGAAAGTGGGAGTTTTTCAGAAGTCATTGTCTTGAATCACATGACATTGCAAGAGACTGACTGCAAGCTGGTACACAACTTGGTGCCAGCCCTATGCAGCAAAAATCAGAAAACAAAAAAACCCAACCAAAATCCAAAGACCTTTCTCAAGAAAAAACTTCAGAACATTTTAGATGAGGAGAGAGGAGGCATTCATTATCACCATAGCAAAGACTGCAAAAGACCTGCTTTGAGGAAAGGATCACCAGGCCAGCATGATCCAGAAGGAAAACCAGATCAAGACAAAAGACAGTTTTTGGCATGACAAGATTTAGGAGGTCCTCTTGGGTCATCCCAAACTCTCCTACCACTTGTACCCAAAATACATCATTACTTTTTTATGTGGCAAACTGTCCTCTTTACACAATAAACCAGTATTTTGTGTCTGCTCTATACTCCTTTTTATTTCCTTACTTTTTCATTAAAGTAAGGAAATGGGATTGACTGTTCTGTTTTCAGCCATCTCTAATACCAGCAGGAGCTCTTCTTACAGACACAGTAATAAACCTCTTCTTGGCAGCTTCATTGATCAGTCCCTTCTCAGAACTGCTGGAGCATGGGGAGAGAATGGGGAAAACATTCATTTGAAGAAAAGGAGTAAGAGGCAGCTACCTAGACTAAAAACTTTATTGATGTGCGAAGCTTTCTGCTAGTCTTGCTTTCCCAGAAGTTTCAGAGTTGGCAGGAAAACAAACCCAAGCCTGTGAGGAAGAAACAACATCATACAGTAGCATGTTTGAAATGCAGCTTGCTGAGCTCAGATTTGGGGGACAGAACCTTTAGGAGCTTCTCATAAGCACAAGAGGACAATTCACCCACTTAAGTCACCACTGTGACTGAGCTGTGAGTGGTGCAGGAGCAGCAGCTGGCCTTTGCTATCCTGACTACACAATACCACATGGGGAGTTCATGCTGGAGGCCTGGGAGTTTGCTCCCATATAGTGCCAAGAGTCCTCAGTTCTTACGCTCATTCCAGATTCCTCCTCTTGTTTTTCCTTTTCCTTTGATATCCCTTCTATTCGCTTTCACCAGTCCATACAATAGTGCTGTGCCTTAAGTTGTGCCAAGGGAAATTTAGGTTGGACATTAGGAAAAAGCTCTTCACGGAAAGAGTGATAAAATACTGGAATGGTCTGCCTAAGGAAGTGGTGGAGTCACCATCCCTGGACGTGTTTAAAAAAAGACTGGATAGGGCACTTTGTGCCATGGTTTAGTTGAGGTATTGGTTGGACTCGATGACCTTGAAGGTCTCTTCCAACCCAGTGATTCTGTGATTCTGTGTTAGAGGTATGTGCCATTTTCCCTGGACACACAGACACATAATAGCCACTTTTTTCCACCTCTTTTCATCTGACCATATCTGCCCCATCCCTACCTTCAGCACTGAACCAGTACCAGCAAACATTCCATGATCAGACCACAAAAGACTGAGGAACACAACTATGGCCTTTTATCCTCCTGAGTCAAAGCAATTCTTGCTTTTTTGAGCAAGGGTGTCTGCATTTGCACATATGTATGTGACCACAAACATACACATATGCCTCAAGTTCCTCTTGAATGCAGCCTCTGAATGAGGCATGAGGCTCTGTCAGCGTGAAGGGCCTGTGTTACACTCTGTGTCTCATTGTTAGTGTGCTTAATCACCTTTTTTACAGAATTAACTAATCCTCAGTATCTCCTCTGTTGTTCTGTCCTCCAATGCCATTTACTGGACCCAAGCCAGCAGTCCAAGAATTCTTCTTGTTCCCTTTTGCTCACCTTGAGCAAAACACACAGCAAAATAGCAATACACAGATCCACCACCCCAAACAGGAAGGGCCAGCCCTCTTTCTGGGCCAGATTTGCCTCTCACCAAAATCCACTCTGATGGAGAAATCTTTACACAAGGGCAAAACAGAAAATAACCCCCACCAAATCTGAGAGGTGACCCTCATTTTAGTTAAAATGGTCCAAACTAGGGCCCAATTAAAACCTCTTCATTTCTGGGCAGAGAAAACCAGAAATGCCACAGGCACAGACACAAGCAGGCAATCTTAGTTTTGCTGTTACTTAAAAGAAAGAACTGACAGCACCTCTAACATCCCCTTTTCTCCCTATAACAATTCTTTTGGCAGCAAGAAAGCCAACATTTGAAAACTGAGATTTACACGTCAGAAAAATAAGTGTCCCATACAAGAGGAGAGAGTGAGGGCATGGGATTTCCATTGTTCAGATTAAAATCACACAATACAATTATTCTGCCAGCTCCTGAAAAAAAAAAGAAAGAAACCCCATAAACTGTACTAGATAAAATCAGCAGCAGTGTTTCCTCTCAAACTGCAGAACAGCAACTTCAGTCCTTTTGACCCAAGCTGAGGCTTGCGTGCCCTAGTAATTCTAGCAAATGAGGAACATGACAAGCTGAACAGTTAGGCCTTATCTATCTAAGTCAGGATAATTACTCTGAAAAAGCACCCTATCAGTACAGATCAGGCAGCACAGATTTTCATTTACTCTCAGATACTGCACAAAAGTACCACACACCCTCTCACGAGGTTACAACTGGCCCCAGACATTGTAGGGAAGGAAAGAGGCTGTTTAAGGATGAAAAATAAAAAATTACTCAACAGCAGGAGAAAGAGGATTATCTTGAATGGCCTGCCACTGCTTTTTCAGTGACTCTGGTTTTCATCATCATCATCATCTTTGTTTTGTTTTTTTTTTTTTTTTGTAAAGGCTCCAATTATGACAATAGAAGAGCCCTATCACACACTTGAGAAAAAAAACCAAAAGAAATTACACAAGCAGTTATACCTGATCTTCAGGGAAATCATGATTAGGGCTGTTTGCTGACCCAGCAAACATAGCTTGGGTAGAAACACCTATGGAAAAAAAAAAAAGCAAAAAGGCACAATAAAAAAACAGCCATGAGATAAAAATGCCTCTTTCTGTGTCATTCTCATCAACCAGTATCCCACAGAATCCTTGCCATCACTTGTTTTGTCAGGAAGTATTTCTCCTAAGGCATACTTCTTTTATTAAACCTGGAGTAAGGAAACAAGGTGAGTTAAGGCCTCAGAATTAAGCAGTTCAGTCTTGGAACACTGTTTTCTAGATATGACATGTCACCCAGTCTGGCTAGAATTACAGTAATTTAGAATAAATGTAACATTTTTGAACTAATTAGAAATTATGGGATGTTGTGACCACCAATGATGAGGAGAAAATTTAAAATTAGCAGGAGCTCAAGAATTTAGTTTAAAAAATCCAATCTAAGGTCATTGTTTCTGGTGACATTTCCATGAAAACAGAGTGATCTAGACACTGGTTATTCTTTCCCCAAGTAAAATCCACTCTAGATAATTCCCTCACCCTGCCATCAGATTCATGCAATGCTGAAAATTTCCGAGTCTTTATTATTACTATTATTATTATTTAATTTAAACAAGACGGGAAAAGAGCAGCACCATTTAAAAAAACCCTTTTGTGTGATACACAAGTAAAACAAGTGAGGTTTAAAAAAAGTTAAGTTTATATATGTATATATACACACATACACTGAACCAAATTAAAACCAAAAAACTTGTGAGGAGGTCATTTTCAACAAGAGAAAAGAAAGCCTTATTCCACATCAAGCAAAAGCACCACAAATTAAGATTAGAGTGCACAATCACATGTAGTGCAGATACCAAACTAGCCTGGGTCCTGGAAGCAGTGGAGCTACAGCAGGACAGAGCTCCACGACGGCCATCTTATCCCACTCCTTGGCAGAAGCAAATGCAGTGTCCCTTCAGGAGAGTGTGCTTACAGGCACTGCCACAGGGGCCTTCTCTGCCTCCAGCAGTTTTGGGTAGAAAAACCACAAAACACAGCAAACTAGTGAGGATAGGACACCCAGAGCTGAGCTACAGACTGATTTAGCTAACGTGTTTCCAGAACAGAGGTTTCTGAACTCCCCCATCTCTCTTGGGTGCTCCCTGTAGGTACTGCCTGCTTCAGTCACACAGCAGACAGCTCTTGATTAGGTATTATTTGTGCACTGAGGTTCCTATTCCTGCGTACCTGCACCTCTTCTTGTCTCTCTTCCACCCCACTTCTATTTCCTCCAGGCTGACAGGGTAATAAAATTAGGAAGAGGCATGTACACCTAACTAAGGGGAACTGTCAACAACCAAACGTAGCTTAAAAAATAATAACAATTCTTAAAAAAACCCAATTAAAAAACCTGTTCAAGTTCTGCAGACTTCTGGCAGGCTTTGGTCATTTAGCCCAGAGGTCTTTGTCTTCAGGGCCTGCAGGCTAAATTGTCTTGACTGGCAAGAAGCATGCAGTACATGATAAAACTCTGACTAAAAGAAAAAAGTAGTAAGGGCTGGTGGACAAGAGGCTCTAACATGGAAAGCCCAGAGTGCAGTAGCAGCAGTTATGCCACACGGTAGGCTTTCAGGAGGGTGAATTCCTTCCTGTTGGTGCGAGCTGCCCAGATGAAAAGAGCAGCTGCCATGAACTGCAAAGGTGCTGACACACAGGCGAGGCAGAAGGACCAGCCGAATTCACCCCTCACATCCTCCGGCAGAGGCAGCTTCCTATGGAGCAGCTCAATCCCAGCTACATAGCAGCCAACGAGGCCCAGCGTGCACAGCCCTGGGGAAGGAAGCAGCAAAGCAGTGAGCTGACCCACGGAGAGAGTGCCCCAGGGGTACTCCTGAGCTTCTGGAGGAGGATGGCAGGACACTTACCTGCTAGGAAATGCAGGACTCCGGTGGCAATGGCTGGGTAAAGGCTGCGACAGGCACAAGCACAGAGCCCAATCAGAGCCCCAAAGCACATGAGGCCAATGCTGACAAAGGGCAGGAGAAACTGCAATCGCCACAGATCTGCATGTGAAAGAAACAAACAAGTCAAATTTGCTAAAGATTGGCTAGAAAAAGGTCTCCTGCCATCTTACATTCCCTTCTACCCTGCTGTTTCTGTTTCATCAGACATTCTAGCTTCATAGTCAAAGACTCAATTGAAACAGAAATAACCTAATTTAACTCACACATCCCTATACTGCATTCATAGGCAAAACCCTTGCTAACACATCTGTCTTCCTTTTAAACTTTGACCTACTGCCAACTGTAATAATAAATGGTGAGCAAGACCAAGAAAGACAGAAGCTTTCCTCACTAGTGACTGAATTTGAGAAACAACTTCTTTTAACTCTACTTGTTATCTGCCAGATAATGAAAGACACTTACAAGTCCGATTCAAATCCGTGCCACTGTTGTGATTTCCAGGCTCTATGTACTTTTCTACAAACTGATCAGAGAGGGAGAAACTGATGCAGTTTGTAGTCATATCAGTTTCTGGGGGTGGAAAATAAGAAAAAAATTGTCGTTAGATGTCTCTTCCCAACCTTCCTTCTCCCCTTTCAAACTCTCCTTTCCCAATTTGAGCTTGGAAGTTCCTCAGAATGCCATTTGTAAAAAAAAATACCTCTCCAAACAGATCTGCAGATGCTTTCCCATGATGTAGTTGGCACTATGTGTCTGTTATGAGGTGCTGCACTAAGGGATAGCATCCCAACAGGCAGAATCTTCAAGCTTCCCTGGATTATCCACAGCTAATTGTGCCATGTGTAACAGAATAGCAAAGTAATGTGGTGGCATATGATGCTCAACTATGTTGTCACATATTCTTGAGCTCAGGGTTTCCTAACTAAGGTGTGCTTATCTTCATATGCAGAATGTGGTCTTGTACTAACAGTCAAATCAAAAATAGGACAGAAAGGCCTATTTAAAGAACATGAAGGATTTGCTTCTTTACACTAAGCTTCTACCTCAGATTTTACTTTGAGAATACTACTGAGCAGAACTGGTTGAAGTGTCTTCCAAAGTAAATATTTTCATGAGAGGGAAAAAAAAAAAAAAAGTATTTCATGTATGTCTTTTTCTCCACAAAATGTAGTTGAAAGTACATACTTAAGAGGGTTCAAAATGAAGTTCACACATGGAGTAAGTACCCAAAATTGACTTTGAAGCAGTTAAAATAGTTGTTTACCTCACATTTTATCCCCCAACAATTAAAAAAGATAATACAAATATTTCATTCTGTATCTATTCAAAGAAGCCAAGGTGTGCTGATGCAATGATGGGATATTTGTGACATGAACAAAGTGAATGACTAGCTAAAAGGAATGAATGCCTCCTTGATAAAGTAGTGTCTTTATTCCATTGCTGGATCCCAGGATCTATCCTAAAAAGACAGTAACTGGTAGAACAACTATAAATATATCCCCAACTGGACAGCTGAGGCAAAATAAAAATCAAGCTTGTAAGACTAAATTTAGATCAAGTATCATGTCTCAAAACCAGAAACTGCAGCACTGACAGCCACAGACCATTCTGCCCTTTGCTTCTTTAAAAATCTGCACTGTCTTTATTAAAAATCCAACTTACCAAAACAAAAGCTAGAAATAAGCCTTCTGGAGGAACAAAATGGCACGAATCTGTTCTGAGGAAGTTAGCACACAGCACCCCAGGGAATCTAGGGAAATGATAATTGCTCTGGAGGTACCTGGTGGGCTGTACCAGTGAGAGTTTTTGGGTACAGTGATGCACCTCCGCCACAATCCAACCGTGCCGTTGCACCGGAAGAGCGCATCTGTGTACGTCTTCTCATCCGCATCTTTGCTGACAAACTCCTCCCAGATGATTCTACCGGCTTCACTAACGTTCTCGGCTGGGGACAGGGTGTGGTACTCGTACCAGAAGTCGGTGCCAATGGAGGCTGCCATGTAGATGGTGGAGATGAGGCTGAGCACGCAGGCGATCACCAGTGCTGTAGCAAACCGGTTATCCATCATGGCGCCCTTGCTGGGAACACAGGGACAAGTGAGCAACGCTTCTGGAAGTGTTATCCCAGTGGTGCCATACCTGGGACATCAGCCCCCTTCTGCAAGGTCCCCTCAGGATATGCACGCCTTCCTTGTCCTACCTGCTAGAATCAAAGGACCACTGAGCAAATCTACAGGGCTGGCCAGCACTCACAGGATCTGCGAATTCCGAGTAGGGATAATATCCTGGAGTGTGCTCTCCCAGGCACACTGCACTGGCTGCTCGCCCTGAAACAGCAACTGACAGAACAACACCAACTCGTCCCCAAAGATGACACAGCTCGCTGCCATTCGTGATCCTGATTGTAGGGAACGTCAGAGACTCCATCCACAACGCCCAGGAAGAAGACTTAGCTTTCCTTAAGAGATTACCAAGGGTAGAAGTTATTTTTAGCCTGCCACCCCATACGGCTTTCACAGCTTGTGTTTACAGCAAAGATAAGAACCACAGCCACGATGAAAAAGCCCTTCCAAGCTGCTCACAAAGGACAGCCGTGCCAAGGTGCTGGAATGCCTTTAGGGAAGAGAGAAATGTATCTAGGCACTAGAGACAGAACATGAAGGAAGCACTAGAAGACAAGTTTGGAAATCATAATAAATACAACAATAATGCCACAATAATATACCATGGTATTTTTGAAAACCTAGAACAATGCAGAGGGTGCCCTGTTCCATGGGAACAATGTGACAAAACTGAAAGGCCTTCATATGCTCCCGCAAGGATTTGGCTCTGTGTCCCTCTCTTAGGGGTCTTTTATGCCCTCCTTTGTGGGGTTGTGCTCCCAAATGGCATAGATTCAGGGTCAAAGGAGGCATGGGGAGAAGACAAATACCATGACTTTAATGAGTAACCGATTGGTAATATAAGAAATGTTTTGTGGCTGCAATACACCAGAGGACTCCTCTCAGATGCCAGTTGTTCTCATGCACTTTCTGTGCTTGATTAAATGCATGGATGATTATGAATCAGGCTTGAGGCACTTGCCAGAAAAAAAAAAAAAAGAAACAGGCTCAGCAGCTAAAGGTAGGCTGGTGGCAGGAGCAACTATCTAATCAGCTCTTGTCTAATGCTTACTCTACCTCCCTTCTCCCACACACTTTGATCAAAATATTTTGGTCTACTTTCTTTGCAACTGAAGGAACCGCAACTGGAAACAGCCAGTGCCTTAAACCTCAACATTCACAAGGAAAAAACAGTGAAGTGCCTCAAGTCAGACTTGTCAGCAATAAATTATGAACTAAGAAACAAACTACAAATTCAAGAAGGGAATTTCGAAGGCATCAATGTTTGCTGTTAACAATACCATTCTTATTTCTTTTCCTCTCCATCTGTGCCTCTATTTGTCTGAAACTGGCTAACAAGGAGGAGAAATTATGTGTTCCCATATCATTTCCTATGCTTCATTTCCATGTTAAACGAAGCACACTCTGCAATATCCATCCTTGAACTGCATCCTTTGCGATGAGAAAGAATAGAACTGATTTGTGGTGAACTGACAAAAAACATCCACTTAAAGCACTGCAAAGTTTGCAAACCACAACTGTACTTAAATAATAATCTACAAGCTGTGAACTTGTATAAGATAATAGAAATATTGAGAGGGAGAACACATTGTATCCAGGTTTATTTATATAGAAAACGTAGAAGCAAGCCCAGACTTGGTAGCAAATTCTCTGTGCAGTGTTTAATTCCTGTAATTATGTACTTCCACTCTCCTTCAATATCCCAGCACCTTGCTCCAGGTACACAGGATATGGGATAGAAGAGCAAATTGCTGTATACATCTGACCTCAACATTCAGCCCTACTGAGTTAACTGAGGGATCCCCACCCCTTCACACAGCCCCCGAAGCAAACAGGGCAAGTGGCACCTGCAGGGCCAATGCTCCCACCCAGCTGAGCTCAGAGCTGAGCAGATCACTCAGAGCAAGCAGCAGAACAGGCTGCTGAGCAGGCTGGTCTGGATTTTCCACGATATTGCAATCACATCTAATGCAAGAGGAACCCTTTGCAACAGACTCCTCTCTTTAGAAAGGGCTCTCTCTGGGTGGAAGGATCACAACAACCCACAAGCTCCATCCCCAGAGCAGTGTGAAAAAGAATGTAACCAGAACATCATTGGGCCACTGATCTGCTGTCACTACCTTTCAATATAAATGCTGACAGTGACAAAGCCCTACCAAATTTATAACTAACACAGAGAAAACAAAAGAACTGGCCCAAAAATCTTACTTTCAGCTACATATCCCTGGTGCCACGTGCAGAACACTGGTGCTGGCAGTATCCCTACCAGATCACCATCAAAAAACAACCACACACTTCTGGACCAGCCTTCTGTGTGCTGGCATGCTGTGAACACGGCAGAGTCGACGTCAGCAGGCAACTAAAACAGTTCATAAGCAAAATGAAGGCTTAATCACCAAACAGCAAATTGCCCAGTCATTATCCACTTGGTAGAAGGGACATGGAAACCTACTGACACTCAATCCTTGTCATGTAACTGCAGGCATAGGCAGAGAGCAGCCAAGGGGGCTAGAGATCCCCAAAATCTATTGTGTGGCTTTGTGTGGCATTTGTCCCAAAATGACTTTCAGTACGGACATGACAGTGACAAGGCAAGAGTGGGCCCCCAATTCCTTACAATAAAGGTTCCCTCAGTGCTTCTGCCTAACACTTCAACTACTTACAGAAAAGATGAAGAACTCTACAACACTTCATGCAAAGCTTGAACCAGTTTTTCCTGCCAGTGGAGTAGATTTGACTACCCTGCCCATCCACTGTGCATATCCACTGCATCTTCATTTACAGGAGACACACTCCCCCTTAAATGAGGTGTCCTTTCCAAAGAGAGAAGCATCCTGCCAGCCCCAGGCTGAGCTCAAAGGGAGCAGTGGGCACAGTCGGTAAGAAATAGCTACCAGAGAAGTCCATGAAGTAACACACTGAGTGTTTATGGGATTCATGCCATGCTCTGCAAAAGATTCTGTGCAGAACAATGTGTAGGAGGTGCTTTAGAATAAACTTACTTATGAAAAAATAACATCAGTACTACTAAAGATTACACTAATTATAAAGACATAAAGATTGACAACAAATAAAAATGCTTTTTATCCACAGGCTGTCAACAAGAGGCTTCATTGTTTTAACAGGTTCGTTCATATAGCTCTGACAGCACGTTTTTGTCTAACAGGAGAAGCTATTTCAGGCAAGTTACAGCTGAAACTAAGCTATGCAACAAATTTAAGATAACACTAGGTGATTGTAAACAGGCAAAAGTGCTTAATGAGATACTGCAGTTTTATTCATTTTTTAAAATAAGTGAGACACATAAAGTTTTTTAAAATTTTCAAAAAAGAAAATCTTTGAAAAAAGCTCAAGAAAGAGAATGTAAAGGCCAAACCGGAAGCAATACTCAACAGAATGACTAGATTGCACGCAGTTCAAAGAAGGGAAAAACAAAGGGGACAAGTCAGTAGAGTCGGGGAAGAAAAAATAGAAACAGAGAACAGAACAAAAACAAGTATTCTGGCAAAACATCAACTCTAGGACTGAAGACTGAACAGTCTTTGTAAGAAGTTACTGTACCATGGTAGAAGGGAATACAAAAACATGCATATTTTTATCTTGTTGCTGCGGTCACCCCTTTCAGCCAGCAGTGGGGTCACCACATTTAAAAAACTCCTTCTACATGACATCACAAAAGAGTCCCTGCTGCATTCGCCAGCATTCTCTCGGCAAATATACTAGCAATCAAAAAGGGATTAGGCAGAAGGCCTACAAGAAAGTGCATATATGGGGAGGGGGCTGGACACAGCACCAAGATGGACTGTCCATTCGATATTCAGGGTAACAAAAGGTTAGGAAAGATTGCTACCAAGCACTTTTTTACCTTCAGAGATGCTCAGAGTCCCTCAGAACACACAGCTCCGATGATTCCAGGTCTCTTCAGAGGCACCGTGCTGTTTGTGTCCTGTGGCCAGCGGGGAGCATGAAAGGCAAACTTCCCTTTTCTGCCCTGACTGTTCCATTCATTCAGCTTTTTCCACACTGCCAGTTCACAACAAGTGATCTACAAGCAAAGAGCAAACCGAATGACTGGACATCATCATTTTACTCTGACATACCTTCACAGACGTCTCCTAGTGCTATCATTAACATTAAAAAAAAAAAAATTAAAAAAAGAAAAAAGATAAGATAGAGAGGGGAAATTACTTGAAAAGCCCTCAGGCCACGAGCACCTGTCCCTGCAGGCCAGCCCAGCACAGGGCCGGGCCAGCCGGGCATCCCCACGGAGCGCGACCGCCCCCGGGGGTCTGGTGCCTCCCAGGCGCCAGCCCCAGCGCGGGAGGCCGACAGCAAACCCGAAGGGAGCATCCCGAGCCCTCAGCCCCGTCCCCCGCCTCAGCCCCAAATGCCCTGAGCGCCCGCTCGGCGGGCCCGGCCCGGCACCCACCGCCCATCGCCGCCGCCTCGCACCCGGCCGGGCCCCGCTTCCGCCCGCCGCGCCCGCCGGCGCGGGGCACGCTGGGTGATGTAGTCCTGCCGCCCTTTCCGGAGGCGCCGGCACCCCCGGGGCGCCCTTTCCAGTGGCTCATCGGCCTGGCTGTGGGGAAATTCCTGCTTGTCCAGCCTCAGCCTCACCGGCACCCTGTCCTCTCCTCCTGTCGCTGTTTGGCTGAGAGAAGAGGCTGATCCCCACCTGGCTACACACTCCTTTCTAGTTCTGTTTCTCTTGGTTGCTTGTGAAAAACGGGGACGTGACAGCCCGGCTGAATGACTCGAGAAAACACCAATTAAGGGGGAAAAAAAAAAAAAAAAAATCCAGGAAAAATTGCAAAAATTGGCAACGCTGGCTCCATGCCCCAAACTGGCCGTTTCCCTCCATCCCTGGTACAGAAAACCACGGAAATTACAAGACGACTCTTAAGAGTGGTTAATAACTCCCCTGGCTTAGAGACCAGCCCAGCCAGTCTTGGTTTTTACAAAACTCCAAAGCAAATATTCAGAAGAAAAACCCCAGAAACATCCGAGGCTTTCACATCTCGGAGGACTTCTGGGGAATTATCCCGGCCAACTCCTCCAGGAAAAAGCCAGGAAGCATTTTTGCAGTAAGGTCAGAGACTAGGATGTAAAGGTGAAAGCAGTCATAGAAGAAACTTACTGGGTTTGATGCAACATTAATTTTTTAATTAAAAAAAATTAGAAATTGCATTTAATTTAAGAAATTTCTGTCTATTTGTCCCACTTTCTGCGTCATGGAGTTTTCTCACCCCCACCTTATAATGTGACTGTCTACAAAGACATAATTTGGGATCTGTGTGGGGTTTATCCTGGACTCTAAAATACTTGACATCTTTATCGATGGCCTGGAAGAAAGCAGAGTATTGCTGATAAACCTCACAGATGACACGAGAGAAGGGTAAATAATGACATGGAGAAGGCACTGGGACAGGGTGACCTGATCATGTCCTAGCTGGGGCAAGCAAACACGCGTTTCAATAAAGTCATCGGTGAGCTCATTAATTTAAAAGCAAGGACTGGAGGCTGTACTTACCTGACATAAGACTTTATCCTGGGAAATGCAAAATGAAAAGGAAAAATGTTGATGAAGTACCAACTGACAAGATGTGGCCCCCCAAAAACCCCTCCAAGTTTCCTGTAACCTCAGATGTACAAACTGAGAAATCACAAGGAGGAAAGAAGTATCACATCTAGAATTGCTGCTGGCTCTGACATAGCATGTCTAGTTTTGATACCTTGACAAAGTAGAGATAAACCTGAAAAGGGATACGAAACTCACCGAGCAATTAGAAAACCTCTCTCAATATCACAGAATGTCAGTCAATCTTATTTATAGAAACTTATTTAAGGGGTTAATTTACTGAACTAATGACTTGCAAGATTATTAAATACATGTATTAGCAATAGGGAAGGGAAAAAAAAATCAGGAACTTCTTTCTGTATACCTGGAAAAGCTATCAAAGGTGGAAGTCAGAAAACATTAAAAGAAAAAAAAGTCAACAAAACCCGTGTGTATCTCAGAATCTGAGTCATTTACTGTAAAGTGCAGCGAATTATTCAACACTGGCATGTCTTCAGTTTTTCTCCTAAAAGATCTAATTTCATAAACATGAAAATCAATTCTGAAAAACTTTGCAGCCATTACTGCTTCCATTATTAAATTAGGCTACAGTGGCCTCTTCTTTTTCCTAATCTGCCCTGATCAATATGAAGTGTGCAGCTGCTCAAAAGCAACCAGAGCGAAGAACTATATTTTCATTTCATTTATTTAAAATCAAATACTCTCTACAGATTTCACCTGGATTTTTTTTTTTTCTGGAAAAACACCCTTCCATATAGTAAAAGTAACCCAATAAAACATTACAAGTGAACGCACAGGGTGATTCCTTGCCAACAACTCTTTTTTCTCTCCCTTTCGCACCTCCTCAGTGTGCCTCAGCAGAACCACTGGTTGATCAGTTTAGTTACACAACAGGATCAGCTGGGAAGGTCTTAAAAGTAAAAGTTTGCTTTACTGAGCGCAGGAAAGCACAAAGGGAATAATGCTGAGAGCTGTAGAATAAATGCTGTTCCTGCTTTTTGCAAAAGTGAAATTTCTTTGATAGCAGACCTGGATCAAGAAGAGCATTACTAACTTCTCAGGCACTGACAGAGAGTTTAACATCAGAGTGCTGCAAACAAAACAAACAAAACCAAAACCCCAATATGTTGCAAAAATAATTAAATTGTTTAGTACTAAATATCTGTAATTTTAATTCTCACAATCTAAGGAAATAAATAAACATTTGTGGGAGGTGGCACCATCTGCATTAAATGAAGCTGAAAAGGACAAAAAAACAACAAAACCTACTTCATATATCACATTCACATCAGGAGTTACTGATTCAGACCTGAAAAATGTATTCAAAAGTCTGCCCGTTTTTTTCCAAAACTACTAGTTAATTAACAAGATGTCACCTCCCCCAACAAATATTCTCTTTGCAATAGTAAAAAGGGTGGTTTTAGTTTTAGGCACCATCTATGAGCATTTTACACAGCCTGAGTCAGCAGGAAAACCCTTTGACTCACCTCAGACCTCTTTACACAGTTTGCCTGGTTTTATTTCTGCCTTCTTTATTTTTCTTTAATATTTTGTGGCCCAGGACGCAGTAGTATAATTTTCACAGACAGAAAACCTTTTAGATGTGTTCCCAAAGATCATGAATAGCACTGGGGCATTATAATGATTCTCATCATCTATGTCAGTAGTCTCCAAACTTTTTAATCATGTACCTTGTCAGTAAAAACTTTTTGAGCAGGCACCCCTATTAAATGTGGTTTTTTTAGAATTATGTACATGTACTACAGCACCAATATATGATTTGTACATTATAAAACATACACAAAAATATAAATTAAAAAAGGATGAAATAAATGGCAAGAAACAATAATCAATATTTTAAAATTAAATGTACAAAAATATTTTCTTCCTGCACTGCATTTTGTAAGCCACTGCTCTCAGCATGAAACTATTTCAGTCTATCATGATGCATTGTCTCAGTGCCCACAATTGTACCTGAATAAGTTCCACCCTTTCCTCTTTGTTGAGGGATGAAACTTCCATTGGTTAGCATTTATGTGGTTGCCTCTGAGCCTGCCTTCAACTAGCCATAGCACAATAGGGCAGTTTCAGCCAATTTAATGAGGGGTTTTTGATTTTTTTCTTTTTTAATTAGGTCTGTTTTTACATGGATTTTTAAGTAAAATAATTCAGAAACTACTACACTTTATTTTACAGCTGAATGAACCTCTGTCCTCCTCAGCATTTATCACTATTAATAATTTACAGATATGCAGCTTATTTTATCTAGATGCCTGTGCTTATATTAAAGTGCATGTACAAGCTGGAATAAAATGACATTTAAGCTATCAGTAAAAGAGTGTAAAATAACAACAACAAAGAAAAAAGAAAAAAAAATCCCAAAAACCCAAACCCACACCTTGCTACCTGAAATGCTTCAATTGCAGATGTTTTAAGGTGGTGTGTGTAAGAAAGAAAATCAGCAGCACTGCCTACTTCCTGTGCAGATATTTTCCCCACAAATTACGTGACTACCTACCATAATGCATGTATCACAGGCAGGACAGAAGTGTGAACAAAGACATGAAAGCTTTTCCCTTGCTGCTGTTGGAAATACCTCCATGTTCCTACGAGGAAGATTAAGGAATGATGCAAACTCTGACCTGGCGGATCTCACAGGTGCATTTGAGAGAGGCAGAACCATCAGAAAAATGCACAATTTAAAGCAGATCTGGCCAAATGCAGGGCCACCATCACAGTACCTGCTCTGAATGTCTGGTTACAAAAGTTAAGTTGGTTCTCAGGTCCAAAACTACTCAGCACCCAGAAGTGTCATTTTTTCAGAGCTGAGTCAGGGGCTGGACAAGATGGGTGTCCCAAATGGAAGAACATACACCTGAGCCAAAACAGTAGCTGGTTGCTTCAGCAGAAAATTTTTTTGGAGAAAAGGGTTTACATGTATCTGGTGAAGCCTGGGAGGAGCAAAATGCTGTGGAAATAGCAGAGTAGTCTGAGGAGAGGATGGAGTCTGTCCTCCCGAGCTTTCTGGAATATCTGTGCAGGAGTGTTATGAGAGGAATTTCCATGTACTCAGTATTTTTGATAGCTTGGCTCTGTCTCAGGAAAGAGAGCTGTGGGAAGAGTAAGACCCTGCATGATGCCCTAAGTGAATCACTATCACATAAAAACACCCCAGACTACTGACAAACATGCCTGCTGCTGCTCAACTCGGATAATTACAGATCACTTTATTATTCACAGCAGTGCTTTAGATTATCTTCGCAAATCTTCTGCCCGGATAAGGAAGTGTCACATGTGGAATATGGCAACATGCAGTGACATCCCTAAGTCTGCTTAGAGCATTTAAGAAACGCAGAGCAAATTCAGGAGAGCAGAGTTGGTCCCTGTTGGAAAAGGTTTACTATTAAATTTTTTATTTTAGTGAGTAGGGTTATTAATCTAAAGAGAAACGACATAGTCAGGAACCACAAACAGGAATACACAGACATATACTTACCTTTATGATGCCTTTAAGCTTTTTAAAGTTACTCACTTTTTTGTTTGCTCTGAGATGGAGAGGGGAAGGAGTGAATTTCAAGGAGTATGAAGTAGCTTGCAATGGAGGGAAGAGAATCTGTATCTGATTCCGAGATTTGTATCTGATTTCTAAAGCTTGTAAATGCTTGTAAGCAGTTGTTCTCTAGCTGCAGAGGAAAATGACACATAGATCCACCTTTGCAAGAGAGGCAGAAGTAGTGCAGATTTGGCTGTAGGGTTCAGCTGGTCTCCTGCTCTAGTACTAATGGAAAGAGAATGCCTCTGTTTTCCAGTGCTTCTTGGAAAAAAACCCAAACAAAACAAAACTAAAACACATTCCTTGAAGCAACAATAAGCAAAGATCACACAAAATTCACCTCTGCACTGAATTTATCAAACATTGTTTTTGTAAAGAATAAGATACTTGGGCAATTTTACGTAAGTCTTGGCTGAAAACTCAGTATATTCCTTGTTCTCTTCAGATGGTGAGAGGATGATTTTTAGCCTGTGTTTTCTTGCAGGTTTACACTTGATGTCACTTGCATGCAAGTAACAATGTCCTCAACACAACCTGATTTTAGGAGTTTTAAGAGTTTGGTTCTGTGATTCCTTCTCCCAGCTTTGCCAGGGAAGAAATAAGCTGTCACATAAGTCCACACTGTGGCTGACCACTGATGAGTGTCTCACAAAGACAAAGACTTGCAGTAACAGTACCTACTCACTTTAATCACCACAGAAGAGACTTTTACATTTCATTGAAAATAAGAATTGTGTTTTAGGTAATCAGGTGCAGGAGATTACTTCTAGAATAACAACGAGGCATTTTTCAAATCTATGGAGTTTTTTTAACCCTGATTCATGAGTGAACTAGCTAAACAGGGTCACTGCCTCTTACTTAGAAGAGGATATAATAATTTCTAGGATGAGCACTTACAACCCACTTTGAGATGGCAGGAAGATGATTTTTAGCCTGTTATTCATTATAGGTTCACATTTACGTCTGTGGCATACAAATCAATCATCTTAGCCAGGATGTTTTTATACGCCTTGATCCTTTTTCAGAGTTTGTGATGGCTGAATTATACTCACTAAGTTAATGTTTACACATTCCATAAAAGTAGTCAGCTAGAGTCCACTAGTGCCCTACAGATAGGACAGCAGTTGTGTAAAAGTGGGTGCTTATTAGATATCAGCATACCTACACATGAGACAGTGCCCACCTAAATTCCCTCCCATCCAGCAGCCAGTCGTTTTACAGCAGTTTCTGCTTTTCAAGGTGCCTGGAACTCTACCAGGCACCTGCTGCACAGGAGCACATCACCTGAGCACTTGGGAGAGTGAATTTGAGTGCACCCAGACTGCACTGGAGGGACTAACTAGCTGTGCATGCAGTTTGGAGTTGCTCCTTGCATGCAAAGGCATGCACAGATGCAATCTGTCTGCCCAGGGATGGAGCACGCACCAGGAGGCGATTTCCTCAAAGCTTTGAGAATCCTGGAGGCCTGCCTGGTCTGTGAACATGCTGGTGGGAGGGAGAGGAAGGAGAAAATGAGCTTACTTTTAGAAGAGAGGAAGGATGATGAAGACCAATAGTGCAGGTTTCAAATTAGTATGCGCTGACAAAGCTGTAATGAATTCAGTAGTTTTAAAAATGAGAATTTCTGTTTGATTTATGCAATGCTGAAAGGGCTGTCTGTAAGGTAAGTCACAGCTGGAGTAATACTGATACTGCAAACGAAAGATGAAGGAAATCAGAGCTCATTAAGACAAGCGAGTGCTGTATATAAGAACAGCTCAAGAGCCTTAAAGGCTATAGCCAGAAGGAAAAGGAACAAACTACTGCTCTGGAGTCCAGGACTGTGGATGATAAGGAATACTGTGTGGGGGATGGAAGCGTCGAGTTTCAAATGCCAGAAGAATATACAACACATTGAAAAACTGTTCTCGAAGTTTCTAATACATTCCTAAAGTTGGATGTGGAGAGTCCAGATCTAGGGGAATTGGTGGGGCTGCAGGGCAGGAGGTGGCACTGGCAGGGCAGCCAAGAACCTGGGCCTGATAAAGAACAACCAGCTACAGGGCGGAATGGATATAGGAGTTCTAAATGCTTCTCCCTATATATATGCATATGAGAGAATTACTTTCAAACAGAAAACAATCATGAATAGTCAAGTAAAGTAAAAACCTCCAAGCCTCAGGAAAGTCAGACTTGCCCTGACAAGCAATTTATATAAAATGTTTTGACTATAGATAAAGGTTGAGGCACCCGAATTCACTGTTCTTGGGGTTCTTATAAGCTGGTACAATCTCAAATTTCTTCAAACTACCAATATACTTTCCTAAAAAAAAGTTCAGAATCTCAAAAAATGCCTTCCCTCCACCTGAAAGAAAAGCAAAACCTGAAGCCGGAAAATGCAAAATGGAGATAGACTCAGTAAAACTAAACCTGATTTTTATAAAAGCCACACACATTTATTCTGAAGGCAGGGTTTTGACTAATCAGATACCCTTGTTGCTTGTTCATTGCCTGTGCAGTTGGTTCAAAGTGTACAAATTACCTCCCCACAAAACCACTTTTCTCCTCCTCCCCCCTCTCCCCCTCCTCCCCGCTCACTGATATAATATTTTTAAAGAAGACCTGGAAGGGCAGGGTAGGGGAAGCTCAGAGCCTCCCTCAGAGAGAGGATGAGGACAGCTGGGTCAGAAATGGAACTCCCTCAGCTGTCATCCACGGCTGCAGTCACCTTCAACTATGATTACTACTACGATGACCAGTGCCAGCACCAGCACCTGCAACATATGTCTGTTTTCCTCCCTATCCTTTATAGTGCCGTGTTCCTGGTGGGCATTGTTGGCAACTCAATCCTGATAGTGGCCTTGGTCTTCAAGCAACGGGTCCAGAGGCTGATTGACATCTTCATCATCAACCTCGCTGCATCTGACTTCATCTTCCTCATCACTCTTCCTTTCTGGGTGGACATGGAGGTGTCAGACGAGAGCTGGAGGGTAGGATCTTTCCTCTGCAAAGCCAGTTCCTATGTCATCTCAGTCAACATGTACTGCAGCATCCTGCTCCTCACCTGTATGAGTGCTGACCGCTACCTCGCTATCATGCACCCCTCTATCGCACGGCGGATCAGGACAAGAGCCTATTCCAGAGCACTCTGCATCTGTGTCTGGTTATTATCCTGCTGCTTAGGGATGCCAACCCTTTTGTCCAGAGAACTGAGGAAGCAATACGGAAAGACTTACTGCACAGACAAAGCCATGACAGAAGTCAAACTGATCATGTCACTGATGCTTTTAATCCTGGCCTTCTTCTTCCCACTGTTAAGTATCTTAACCTTTTACTGCTCCATCACCAAGAGACTCTGTGTGCACTATCAGAAGGCTGGGAAACGTGATAAGAAACTGAGAAAATCCATCAAGATCGTCTTCATTGTAGTGGCAGCATTTGTTGTCTCCTGGGTTCCTTACAATCTTTTCAAGCTTATGGCCATCCTTTTGCAACTCCTAAAGCAGCCTGACTGTTTTACTGGCACCGTTGCCCAGCTGGGCATAAAGGTGAGCAGCCCTTTTGCTTTTGCCAATAGCTGTGCCAACCCTTTCATTTACTTTTGCTTTGACAACTACATCCGCAGAGCCATGCTCCAGTGCCTGTGCCCATGGGTGAAAATCAGCAGCAACAGCTCTGAAACCCTGGACACCAACTTGAGCCATTCCTTATCCAATTTCGTGGCAGGGGAGTTTGCCACCAGGAAGAGGAAGCGCTCTGTGTCCCTCTAACTTTGAGCTGGGACTGCGGAGGAAGGAACTTTTTCCCCAGAGATGGCAGAAAAAGAAAAAGAGAAACAAGCAACAGAGACAGGTGCTTCAGGTGAGAGGGGTGTTGCTTCCTTTTAAATGCAGATAGATGGAATAGGAAACCTTAACCACAGAATTACTTCACTTGCTGTGACCATGCACAGTGTAAATGTGAAACCGTCATACCAAGAAATAGCTACAAATGCTCGTGCTGGAACCCCAGTACAAGTGCTACAAACTAGAGAAAAGAGCCATCTGATTCAGTCAAGGCCTCTCCGAGACAAGCTTTGAACTAATGTGTATACAGGTTTTTATTCTGTGAAAGAAAAGCAACCTGAGTGTTTCTTTTTGGTTCCTAGCTTGCCCACAAATTATTCACAATGCCCCCAAACCAACCCGATCAATTCTGGGGTTTTGGAGGTTTTTTGAACTTAGAAATCCAATATTTTAATGAATTTGTGTGTTAACATAACTCGAGTCTTGTGCATTTTAAGTCTCAGCTTTTTATTACAGCATTAAATTCTTTAATTTTAATCATAATAATTAAAGTGATTAGCTGCTCAGATTTCAGAAAAAAACAGAACTTGAAGACAGAGAAATCAGGAGACAAGCAAAACTTTGCCTTTAACCTTTCTCTTAAAGAAAAGAAGACCAACAAAAGCACACTTGTGCTTTTTAAGACATTTTTGCGGACCTGACACAATTTCTGATTGCTTGGGTCAGAGCTGAAGAGTCACTGCTTTTTACTAAGTGAAAGGACACAGTGAGTTCTGGAGTGAAAGGTTACACACATGCAAACCTGCAAAAAGGCTTCAAAGGGAAGACAGCTATGTCAGCTAACACAGCTCATGAAAAAACTGTCTGGACAGCAGAGAAAAAAAAACCCTGGAGACTGGACAATGGAAGTGGTATCCCTCCGAATGTGTACATTCACTATGGTTTTTCTTTTCGCACCTCTGTATTTTCTAAACATCTGTAAATGGGAATAACTACAGAGCGTTACAAATAAATCCTGGTATTTGCATTTTGTATTGAACCTTGCTGAAGAGTTGAGCTGTTTAATGTCTGTAGAGAAACATGGGCGCACCTCACGCGAGGGCAGCGCAAAGCTAGAAACCAAGGTGTGCATATCTTGCCCAGTTCCCCGGCCAGTTCCACACTGGACCACTGGCTAGCAGAGCAGATGGAGAGCTGGCTCTCCTCTCAGGGGAGGCAGAAGTGTCTTTCAGCAATTGCTGGTGTCAGAATGCTCTCTGGGATACTGAGATACACACCTGAGCTAAAATGGGGGTATCACAGAGACACTCACAGGCTTTTTGCTCTCCCCTTCCTTCACTGCATGTGTTTATTTCCTTCCTCACTACCTCTTCTAAAAGATTTGGTTTTTCTTCCTCCACATGACAGACCTTCCCTCCCACCCCCACCTAACTGCCAAACTGCTTTTTCAGGCTGACAGCTGCACGAAGAGCATCAACTGTTCCCAGACCTGCCAGTGCTTGAGAATGAAACCAGTGTCAGTTCCAATTTTAAAGTTATAAATGTTTAAATTTATTTGCAGTAATATTCAGAAACTGCTGTCTCTTCTCAATCTTTTATCTTCCTTCTACCTTTACAAGTGTATACAAGGGGACCCTTTTTGTTTCCAGAAAAATAAGCCCAAGATTTGCATTTCAACTAAGATATGAATTTTATTATAGAAAAAAATCAGTAAATCAGACTTGCTCATTATTTCCTCAATCCCAGCCCAAAGCACTGCAATATTTGGAATATATCCTATCTGCAAGACTTGAAATAATTCTGGTTAGAGCTGCCTGTTTCTTTCTTTCTTTTTTTTTAATACTTCAAAATACCAGATCAAATTGGAAAAATGACTAAGGAACTCCACCAAGATCTCATGCCTAAAGCTTTAGTTTATGGAAAATAACAAATAAACTTGGTAAGTATTGCCAGGCTTGAGAAGAATCAAATATAAATGGCACAGCAAATGCTCCACATAAACAACGAAATAAAATATACAAGAGGCAACTAATTCAGCAAAGGTAAACTCTCCAGATTAATTCAGACTTCCATCCAAATTAGTGTAACTTATTTTCTTAAGAACTGCAGGTCATTTGACGCTTTCATGACATGGTAAATATTCTTTTCAATCTTTAATTTTTTTTTTAAAGGAAGATGTTTGAACAGCTTTACTTCAGAAACTTTTACTATTCCATCTTAACATTTATTATCTGTTTGTTGGCACTAACATATCTTAGGATGATACCAAAATTATTGTGGTTGAAAGTATTTAATGTGGTAGGCTTGAATAACGTAACACGATGCCTATTTTATCTATGTTAAAAGAATTGAATGACAGTAAGTTGGTTTGCTATGTAAAATGGAAATAGTGCAATTCTGATATGACACCTGCCAAAGACCTTGGCAAGTAATTTCGATTGGGCTTTTTTCCCCAGAACATTTATTATTTTAAAATAAATTCAGTATGACTGCAGCTAATAAATATGGTTTGGCTTTTTGTAATCTAACTTCCACTTTCATTGTCATGAAAAAGTAGTAAGGCATTACTAGAAAGTTTGTCAGAGGGTCTGAATGGAAACATTCATCTGCCGATCCCATAAACCTTTTCATTATTTCAGAGATGCTTTTATATTAGAATTAGAATTAAATCAAGACCTTTTGAGGTTTTTAATGAAAACAGCTACACCACCAGTACTGCTCCCTGGTTGGCACACTTTCTTGAGGTGTGCACAATCAAAGTTGAAGTGCCTTTGCTTCTTGACATAAATCAGGATCCTGTTAGATACATCTCTTGCTCTCCATTTTGGCTTGAATGAATCAGCAATTTTCAGAAATAAAATATTTCATCTCAACACAAATCAAAATTGAACGCAGATCTGATGCTTGCTTAAATAGGCAAAGAATTTTTGCAACCTTAATTCCAGCAGCAGGTGTGCTAACACTGACAACAGCACCACAGCTAAATGCAACTTTGAGCTGCAGAGGACTGAGGAGAAAGTCACACAGGGAATAGCTTCAGACCCAGAATAAGCAGGGCAAACTTGCAGCCCTCAAAACAAGAAAGGTGGTACAGTCACTGTGCAGACTGACCCTCCACAGGTACTGCAGTGAGGATTGGCTCCTGGAAGCCAAGAGGAAAACTTCCACTGACTTAGATGCATCCAGATTTCATCTGCAGCTTGTCATGGCTCCTTCAGACTGGTGGGATGAAAAGCCCCTCTCAGCAGGTCTGTGCCTCAGGTTTCTAACAGGGTAGACTACAAAAAGAACATTTCCTGACTTTGCAACGATGTTGCAATGATATATTTGTCGACTGCTGCACAGGAGCGTGTCATTGGCAAAAGAAGGTTGGGGTTTTTCCCTCGGGTGCTTGCAGGGCATATTGTACAAGGAGAAGTCATCTCCTGGGTGGGGACACTGACATGTACTCCTAACAGATACACAGCTACTGCAGGAATACTTTGTTATCCCTGTGGGATCATGTACATTCATGAGGTCAGCAGGAACTTGTGAGTAGATTTGCAAGCTGTGAGCACAAATCATTTCCATGTCCCAAAATTTCTAACAGGAACACTTGGACTCAATGCCCTTGGAGGTCTTTCCCAATCTAAATTATACTATGATTCTTCTCTGGCTTAAAATGCTTCACCCAGTTAAGGAGCACAGCAAGCGAAGAACAGAAAGCAGAGAGCCACAATCCTGCAATGGAAAATCCATCACCTCAGGCTATTTTCCAAAAATGTCATCATTCTGTATATTGTCAGAGAAAGGAAGACCAGTTCATGAACAGGAACAAAGAAAGAGTTACCTAAATTCACAGTGGATGGAAACATGCACTGGTGATGCATTAAATGGCCTCAGAAGTAATTACAATGCTCCCAAATGTCACACACAGAGGTGGCTGAGAACCCCTAGAAAACCAGAAAGGGCCCATGCTATCTCACCTAACATTTTAGTATTATACCACAAAGCCTGCAATTAGTTCACTCTAGGTCTCAATAACAACCCAAGCAGCTGCTCAGTTTGCCGGTGCAGGTGTTCATTATGCTGCTGGAGTCTTGCTGCAATGACAAGAGGTTTTGGAATAGTCTCACTAAATGACAGAGGGCCCAGACGTCTGGGCAGCTAAGACTTGAGTTCATCATGAAGTAAAAGAATGCAAAATATGGGAGATGGGAGAGCAAGTGGATTGGAAACCAACAGCCTTCAAGAAGAAAGGCAGTCTTCCACCTCTGAGCTGGTAAAAAAATCCTGCCAAAGGCCAGGCTGCTTGTGTTGATACTTTTTTTTTAAATATGAGTTGAAATGCAGGGTTTTTTTTCCCAGTTCACCTCACTTATGTTCCTGTAACATATTGCAGCAGCTTTGGAAATTGAGGCCACTTGTCATGGTTTGAGAGCACCCAGCACTATCAGTAACAATCATCTAAATAATGCATTGTGACCAAAATACATATTTTCAAACTTCAAAACAGTTTCATTATTAGTAAGAGACCACATTCTTAGTCAGAATCTCCCACTAAGTCTAGTAAGTGAACATATATCCTCTGTTGTTTACTTCTCACATTTTCTAGAGTACATGGGATTTCACAAGAGGCATCTCAGCAACAGATCTCAAAAAAGAAAAGGCAAATGTTTCTCTTAAAATTTGGACTGCATTTAGCTGCTTTGGGGACTAGAGTAAGTCACAGGGAAGGTAAGGTGAGAATCCTATCTCAAAGAAAATGCTTCTCACAAGGTTAATTCAGAGGCTTCCATTTGTATTAGCTTCAGACCCTTTGCAAAGCACTGATATCCAGAAAAGGTGAATACTCACTTTCTAAACAGCAAATCCTTCAAAAGTGAAGTGGATTTAATAATACTAGGAAATAACTGGATGCATCCAAATGTTACTAGTCAATGCTGAAAAAACACAAAGCAACAACCTTCTGTCTTTTACTGCGCAATGGAGTCCCCAGAATCTGATGTCCTCTTTCTTTCTACACATATAAAACTAGTTAATATGAATATAAACGAACAGCTGTTT